GGGCTGCTGCTTCCCAGCCCCTCCCCTCCCTCCCAGCATCCCCCATCCCCCTGGAAGCTCCCTGTGCGCCTCTCCTGGACCACACTTCCACACGTGGCTCCCTCGAAACCTTCGCGTGTGTCTCGGGCGCCAAGTAAAGCCATGACGCGCTCCCTCCGGAATGCGCCGTTCCCGTCAGTGTTTCCTCTACGCGCTCGGAAATCGCTCGGTTTTCCTCGGCGAGGCGGCTCCGGGCCAGGGGTGCCCCGGGGGCTCCGGCCTCGTGGCCCGCGGGTGGCTCCTTGTTTATCCCTGCAGCTGGAGCCTCTCCGCCGCCGCCAGCCCTTGATTCCTTCCAGATGTGCCGTTGGTTTTTCCCCGGCTTTTCTTTCTTTGGAGGGGTGGGGGGGGATTTTTTTTTTTTAAAACCCAAATGTCAGACACTCGGAAAGGTCGAGTAAGTGATATCAGTGTCCCCCATCCACCGAACCTCGTGGGCAAATTAGGGGTGCCCCGTCTCCCAGAGCTCACGCCGCTGCCCACATCCACCCACCCAGCACCGGGGTGGCCTCCGGACAGAGTCCCCTCTGTTCCGGCCACGGCCAACACCGGCCGCAGCCCGCAGTGACCTCCCCGTCCTGTTTGCTTTCCCTAAATACCAGTTACAGTATTTCCCTGTGCCTTTGGGAACGTTACCAGCATCTTTGAAGTCCAGGAATGAGAAAGCCAGAGCGCTCCTTGGCAAAGGCCCCCGTGTGAGAGCCTCGGAGCTGCTGAGGTTGGGGAAAACGAAAAACCCAGAGGTTTAACAGCTGTTTTATTGCAGTGTGGCGTGAAGGTGGCACTGGGCTCTGCCCCAGCCCTGTTCACGGAGCACATCAGGCCATCCCAAGGTTTTATCCATGTTCCTGGGGAGTGCTGGTCCCAACGGCAGCCGGGCCAGGCTGCCTGCACTTGGAATCACAGAATAGAATCATGGAATTGTTGAGGTTGGAAAAGGCCTCCAAGATCATCAAGTCCAACAGTTCCCCCAGCACTGCCAAGGCCACCACTAAACCCCGTCCCCAAGTGCTCCATCCACGTCTGTTAAATTCCACCATCCAGGGATGGTGACTCCACCACTACCCTGGGCACCCTCTGCCAGGGCTTGACAGTCTTTTCCATGAAGAAATTTTCCCTAATGTCCAACCTAAACCTCCTCTGCTGCAACTTGAGGCAGTTTCATCTTGTCCCGTCCCTTGTCCCCTGGGAGCAGAGCCTGACCCCCCTTGGCTCCCCCCTCCTCCTGTCGGGGAGTTGGAGAGCAAGAATGTCTCCCCTGAACCTCCTTTTCTCCAGGCTGAGCCCCCCCAGCTCCCTCAGCTGCTCCTGGTGCTCCAGACCCTTCCCCAGCTCCATTCCCTTCTCTGGGCACGCTCCAACCCCCCAATGTCTTTCTTGTCATGTGGGGCCCAGAACTGACCCCAGGGTCCGAGGTGTCACCTCACCAGTGCCCAGCACAGGGGCCCTGTGGCCCTGGTCCTGCTGGCCACACTATTCCTGACACCACACTTCCCGAGGGATATCGGCGCTCTGCAAGGCAGGGGCGGCACACACAGAACCCCCACCCCGGGTGTTCGGCAGCGCCCGGGGATGCCTGTGCAGGGAAATGCTCCGGCACTGCCCCCTCCGGGCTGGCTCCCTGCTCCTGCCCATCCGGAACCGCAGCTGCCGCGGGGCTGGGGACCTTCCCTCCCTGCTGAAAAACCGACTGGGAAACTGGGGGATGCACCGGTGGGTGCGAGGATCTGGAATGAGGCTGCAGGAATCACCCCCATCACCCCCACGGGCCGCAGCGTGTGTCGGGGGGTCCCTTCTCTGGCTGCAGCAGGAGGAGCAGGACCCTGGGGGTGAGGGACTGTGGTCCTCGGGGAAGGGCTGCAATTCCCGGGTGAGGGGCTGTGGCCCTCAGGTGAGGGGCTGTGGCCCCCAGGTGAGGGGCTGCAGACCCTGGGTGAGGGGCTGCCTCCCTGAGAGAGGGGTGAGGTCCCTGGGTGAGGGGCTGTGGTCCCTGGATGAGGGGCTGTGGTCCCTGGGCTGGGGGGGGCTGTGGTCCCTGGGTTGGGGGGCTGTGGTCCCTGGTTGGGGGGGGCTGTGGCCCCTGGGTTGGGGGGGCTGTGGTCTCCAGTGAGGGGCTGCTGTCCCTGGCAGAGGGGCTGGGTGGGGGGGTGTCTCCCTGGCCACTTGCACCAGCTCCCTATGGGGACCCCAGCGCTGATGCTGCTCCTACCGTGGCTCTGCCCCTCTCCTGTTTCTCCTGCCAGCCAGATGCCTGCAATTAGGAAGGATCCCAAATTAGAAGGTGTGGAGCCCAGACTTGTTTTGCAAATGATAAACTGCTCCAGCCAGCTCCACCCAGCCCGCTGCGGCGTGGGGCTCCAGCGTGGGGGGCACAGGGGCGATGGGACCCTCGGCGCTGCCCCCGCTGTGCCCACCGCCTGCGGGGTCAGCAGTGGGGTTTGGGGGTCCCTGCCATGACTGGCTGCTGGCATGTGACCACCATGGCCTCAGCAGCGCCGCTGACCACAGCAGGGAAGGTGGTGGAGCAGCCACAAGCAGGACACGGGGCGTGGTGGTGGCACTGACCAAGGGCAGAGCCAAACCACTGTCCGGTGGGATGAGCAGGGACCCCGGGTGGGCACCCTGCCCGAGTTGTCCTGGGGACACAAGGCTGCTCCTGTGGGGCTCTTCCCAAGGGGAGCACTGCACTGGGCGGGGGTGGCTGTGAGGGTCCTGTCTGGGGTGATGGAGGCACCTGGGGGGAGCTGGTGGGCATCCCCCTCCCCCAGCTTCCCTCTGGCCACCAGGACAGGTTCCAGGGAGAGCTTTGCAAATGCTGTGGTGTGTTGAAAGCTCATTGGAGCCGGGTTGCAAAATCATCCCCGGGCTCCTCTTCAAACACGGAGTCCCATGAGCTGTCCCATCCCGAACTCACCTTTCCTGCTCCACCAGACAAGTCACCTCCCACCAGCCACAGCCAGGACGCAGGTCCCGGTGCCGCTGCCTCAGAGACACAGCAAAAGGGGGTTTGGCAGCAGGTGAGTCCCCTGGGTCCGGGGAGGCTTTGTCAGCAGGTGGGAATGGGGAAGGGGATGGGGATGGGGGAAGCCCCAGGCAGCAGGACCATGCTGAGGCCATGGTGCATCATTCCCAGGCAGGGAGTGGGAGACAGTGTGTGCAGAACAGCCACCTGGCCTTGCTGCCCGTCCCACATGATGTTGGGGAGTAACAAATCAGCACCATTCCACTTTGGCCTCCCTCTGATGGGGGACTCGAGGTGCCCTCAACCTGGCACCAGGGTCAGGAGGCTCGGAGGTGGCATCTCCCATGCCCTCCTTGAGAGGCTCCTTGTCCAGCAGCATGGGAAGGACAGGGCAGGGTGCAAGTACTTGTGTGGAGCAGGGGAATGTGGGACCCTCTGTGCTGGGGGCTCGAGCCCCAGAGTGCTCTGGCTGGGAGAGTCTTGGCTGTCACGCACGTGGATTTGGGAGTGTGGATCTGTTTGTCTCTGGCCATGGCTTGGGAGCCACCAGGGACACATGAGCTGGCATGGCATGGCATGGCATTACACATCATGGCACGGCACAGCAGAGCACAGCACAGCTCTGGGAGCAAAGAGGGAGAAGGAGTGGGAGGGAGACAATGGGAGTGAACTGATCTGCAGGTACAGTAAAGCTGGTGTGGGTGGCCGGAAACACCGGGCTGGTGGGGCTGCACAAACCCTGGGGGGCTGCACAAACCTGGGGGCTGCACAAACCTGGGGGCTGCACACACCTGGGGGGACTGCACCCTCGGCTGGGAGCCAGAGCTGTTGGTGGGCACTGGAGGGGTGGGAGAGAAGGCTGGAGTGGGCAGTGGGCAGGGCAGGGGAGGCTCAGCCCTGGAAGGAGGGTCCCCAAAGCCCCCTGGCAGGGGGTGATGCTGGGGGTCTCCCTGCTCTGGGTCTCTGTCCCTGTGCAGGGCTGGGTGGGGGTGAGAGGAGCTGGGTGCTGACACCTTGCCCTGCTCCCAGCCCTGGTGTGTTCATCGGCGTCACCCAAGCCGCTGCAGCAGAGGTGCCATGGGGACAGGCTGTGCCAGCATCCTGGGCTGGCTCCTGCTGGCACAGGCAGCCCTGCAGGCCACAGGTACGTGTCCCTGGGCTGTGCAGGGTGGTGGGTTTGGGGTCTGTGGTGGGTCAGAGGGGTGAGCTGGGCTCCTGCCTCAGCCCTCGGTGCCTGCCCGCTCTCTCCTGTGCCACAGGCGGCCGTCCCTGCGATGCCAAGGACTTTGGGCACGGCTCGCTGGTCTGTGCCTGCAGTGCCGCGTACTGTGACACGCTGGACCCCCTGGTCCTGCCACCCCCCGGCTCCTACGTCAAGTACGAGAGCAGCAAGGCCGGCAAGAGGCTGGAGCGGAGCGAGGGGAGGTTCCAGCACAACGCCGAGAGCCCAGGTACCGCCACGGCCAGGACCTGCTGCCCACCCGGGGACAGAGTCCGTCCTGCACAGTAGCAGTGACTCTGTGTGTCCCCCCCCCCAGATTTCCACCTCACCCTGGACACGGCGCAGCGGTACCAGAAGGTGAAGGGCTTCGGGGGCTCCATCACCGACGCAGCCGCCATCAACATCCAGTCCCTGTCCCAGGCTGCCCAGAACCACCTGCTCCGCTCCTACTTCTCCGAGGAAGGTGAGCCCGGGGCAGGGCGGCACTGCTGGGTGGTGCACCCCCCAAATGCACCCCGGCAAGTGCCCATCACCACCCACCCTGTCCCCAGGCATCGAGTACAACCTCGTGCGTGTGCCCATGGCCAGCACCGACTTCTCCGTCCGCCTGTACACCTACGCCGACGCCGAGGGAGACTTCGAGCTCAAACACTTCAACCTGACGGAGGAGGACACGAGGATGAAGGTGGGTCCTGCAGGAACAGCCCGAGGGACCAGGGCTGCTACCTGGGTGGGATGGGATGGGATAAAATCAAGTTGGGACGGGATGGGATTGGCTTGGGATAGGATGGGCTTCGGAACGGGAGTACCTTCCTGCTGATGGGGAGGGAGAGGACTCATTCTTTCATCTGGATGGGATGGGATGGGATGAGATGGAGTACTGTCTCACTGGTGGAGAGAGAGAGGTCTCATCCTTCTATGTGGGTGGGAGACAGGATGGGACAGGATGGGATGGGACATGATAGGAAGGAATGGGATGGGAAGGGAATGGAAGGGGAAGGGGAGCACCTTCCTGCCAATGGGGAGGGAGAGGACTCATCCTGCCCCCTGGCTGAGATGGGGTGGAACAGAATGGAATGGGTTGGGATAGGGAAAGGGGGCACCTTCCCGCCTCCGGGGAAGGAGAGGAGGACTCCTGCTGCCTGCATTGCCAGTGCTGGGGCAGACCTGGAGAGCTCTCTGCCATCCCACTTCTCCCCAGATCCCCATCCTCCGGGCGGCCCAGGCAGTGGCCAAGTGGCCACTGTCCCTGTACGCCAGCCCCTGGACCTCCCCCGTCTGGATGAAGACCAACGGCGCGATGACGGGGAGGGGGACGCTGAAGGGCAACCCTGGGGACAAGTACCACAAGGCCTGGGCCAAGTACTTCATCAGGTGAGGGGCCACGGGAGCGCGGTGGGTACCAGGGATGCTGTGCCAGGGCTGGGGCTGGCACGGGTGTGACAGAGCTGTTCACTGTCTGCCCCACACCAGGTTCCTGGATGAATACGCCAAGCACAACCTGACCTTCTGGGCAGTGACGGCAGGGAACGAGCCCACGGCCGGGGAGATTGTTTTCTACCCCTTCCAGTGCCTGGGCTTCTCCCCCGAGCACCAGCGGGACTTCATCGCCCAGGACCTGGGCCCAGCGCTGGCCAACAGCTCCCACCGCCACGTCCAGCTCATCATCCTGGACGACAACCGGCTCCACCTCCCGCACTGGGCCAGAGTGGTGAGCGTGGGCAGGGATGGGCTGGCACAGAGAGCTGGGGCAGAGCCCCCCATGCCTGCAGGGGCAAGGGTTGGGGCGCTGGCTCTGCCCCACAGGACCAACTCTTGTCCCTGCCAGGTGCTGGAGGATGAAGAGGCAGCTCGTTACGTCCACGGCATCGGCATCCACTGGTACCTGGACTTCATCGGTCCCATACAGGACACAGTGTTGCCCACTCATGAGCTCTTCCCTGACTACTTCATCCTGGCCACGGAGGCATCCATTGGAGCCCATTTCTGGGAGCGGGATGTGATCCTGGGCTGCTGGGACCGGGGCAACCAGTACAGCCACAGCATCCTGACGGTGAGGCCCCTGCATCACTGCATGTGATGGGCCCTGGGAAGGGCTGCCGGCGTGCTCCCTCTCCTCTCAGCACCCTGCTCCTTGGGCAGATGTCTGGGCTGTCCTGTTGCAGAACCTGAACCACTTTGTGACTGGCTGGACCGACTGGAACCTGGCTCTGGACCTGGAGGGGGGCCCCAACTGGGTCAAGAACTATGTGGACAGCCCCATCATCGTGGACAGCAGCGAAGGCATCTTCTACAAACAGCCCATGTTCTACCACATGGGGCACTTCAGGTGGGTTGGGGCCCCTGACATGCATCCACCTGCCTGGTCTTCAGCTCCATCATGGCAGCAGCTCATCAGGAGGAGAGTGGGGTGGGTTTGGTGGGAGAGGAGCTCTCCTGGGACCTGACTCCCTCCTTGAGGTTGCTTCTTGCTTCTGTCTGTGCAGCAAGTTCATTCCCGAGGGCTCCCAGCGCGTGGGGCTTGTTGCCTCCAAAGAGTCCAAGAAGACAGAGCTGGAGTACACGGCTTTCCTGCGCCCCGACGGCGCCGTGGTGGTGGTGGTCCTGAACCGGTGAGTGACACAGCCCAGCCCCTGCTGTGGGCCCTGCAACCAGTGGGTGCTGCACCTCTGACCCCCCCTGCTCTCCCCTCCGCAGCTCCCCCCAGGACATCTCCTTCGGGCTGGCCGACACCGTCGGCCTCATCTCCGCCGTGGCTCCGGCCAACTCCATCCAGACCTTCGTGTGGCAGCGGCAGTGACGGGGCCGGGACGCCCGTGGACGTGCCGGACGCAGCCGGGCTGGACGTGCGGCCCCAGCTGCCCGCGGGCTCGGGCTGGGGCGCGCGGGGGGAGCGATTCCTCGGAGCCGAGCGCCCGGAGCGAGCCGGGCTGGGAATGCCCTGTGTTTGGCAGGAGGGCCGGGGGCACCGGTGCCCCTCAGGGTGGAGACCCCACAGGCTGTGAGCGCTGTGTTCTGCTGTTCTGGCATTAAACGGTGAAGCTGCCTCGGTGTCTGCGGCTGGGAGAGAAATGTCCGGGTCCCTCCCCTGCTCCTGGGCACTGTGGCTGGGTGCCACCCAGGCATGGAGCCTGGAGGAGGACGGAGAGCAGCATGGAACACTTGGAACCCCACGGGGCAGCCCCTCTCCCTGCCCACCCCCCTGCTCCTCTGCCCCTCCACAGCTCCCCGTGGAGCTCACTGTGCCAGGGGGAGCTCCCAGTCTGCTCCCAGTTCCAAGCATGTGCTGCCTGGCAGGGACTGGGCAGAGCCCAGGTGCTCTTCCGGTGCCTTTGGGGACAGGTTTTAGGACCTGGCAAGTGGCTCAGGATTCACCTGGCACACAGGTGCTCTGGGTCCTGGAGCAGGAACAGGAACAAAACACCTGGACACACCACTCCCCCCCATGGAAGGTCTGGGCAGGGGTTGCAGTCAAGGTTCAGCTTTCCATGCTTTTCCTGCCAAGCTGGAGCCACTCACAACCCAATGCCAGGCCAGGGGGTGTGTGAATCACATCTTTCCCAGCCCAGGGTGCTCCCCAGGGTCAGGGCTGGAGGCAGAGCCAGTTCCAGAGGCACTGCAGCGTGGAGGGCTCAGGGTCCCAGCTGCCTCTGGCATTGCAAGCTGCTCCTGGGGCTTTGCCAGGACAGGGCTGCTGGCCAGGCTGCAGCAACCCTGCCTGGAGCATGAGCTGTGCCCCTGTGGGGACTGGGCAGAGGAGAGTGGGGGACCACCAAGGGGCTCAGCACCCACCACAGAGCTGGGGCAGCTTGAGCAAGTGGGCCCAGGGCCAGGAGTGGGTGCTGAGAGTGGGTCCACCCAGGAAGGAGGGAGGGAGCTGGCAGGGCGTGGGAGCAGGGGATTAGGGCAGGGAGGTCACAATTGCAGGGCGAGGAGGGCGGCCAGGCCCCCTCCGCGGGGGTGGGATGTGCCCGGGGGGGGCTGTCAGGGCTGACAGCCCCGATGCTGCGTGGGCTGGGCACGGCCCAGGCGGGGTCTGTGCGTGACAGAGTCACCCTGGGACATCCTGCACCGCGGTGCCACAGCGACACTGCCCCAGGGTGGGAGCCCTGGGACCCTGCAACTCCAGGAGGAGTCCTGGGGAGAGCACCCTGCTCCTGCCCCGAGGCTGTTTGTGTTTGTCCACAAGAGGGAAATATTTCTCCAGGATCATAACTAGAGCGAGCCCC